TGCTGGAGCTCTTTCAGCCTTCGCCACCTGCCGGGGTTACTGAGGGCTCCACCCCCATGATGTCACTCCCTAGATCAAGGCCTTGGTCCTGCTGTCCTGCCCCTGTGCTCACCCCTAGGCACAGACCCTTTGCAGGTGAACTGGTACCCTGATGATTTTTCCACGTAATGGCTGTACGGCCCTGAGCAAGTAATTCAGCCTTGCTGTGCCTTGGTTTCCCGTCTGTACAATGGGGCCATTAGAAAGAACCAGGATGTTGTCGAGAGAATTGCCTGGGGCCCCATTGGCTGGAGGCAGTTGTGCCCCGACTTCCTAGTCTGTTCCCCTTCTTCGTGCTTCCCAGGCCACGGCCCTGCTGTGGTCTGCGGTCTCGAGGCATCTGCTTTCACTGTCAGTTTTTGAAGAGCATCCCAGGGAGAGAGGACTAATCATAGATTATTTGACAATAGAAAGCACTGTCCAAATGCTAAGTCCAGTTTAATAACAGTGAGGCCAAGTCATTCCGTTTTGAACAAGCTGAGCTTGTGAAATCAGACAGATGCCACCTGCACTATTTAGAGTCCCTCTTAGTGATGTTCCCCGGGAAACGCTTATCGTATGAAAATCCTCCAAAAAGGGAAGTGCTTTGTTCTGTAGTTAGACACACGAAACTTCCTTTTGGGGACGGGGTGACTGCTGTAGATAGGGAATGAACGCATCTCGAGCGTTTATGGAGCGTCTACTATACGCTGAGCACGTGATACTCGGCCTTGGGTCTAATCCTTGGAGTCACTCTGTGAGGGAGTTGAGATCATTCAGCTGTTACAGGAGCTGACCCCTGAGTTCAGAGAGGTTAGGTAACCTGCTCAAGGTCACACAGCCGTCTGGTGGAGGCTGGATTTGAATCCAGGACCTCTGACTCTGAGATCCTCGCTCTTCCCAATCTCTGAGTAATGTGGAGAGTCACCCGCCTGGGACTTGAGACGTCAAGGGCATCTTCAGCTGTTCTTTGTCTCCGGAAAAAGTAGCTGCAGGTGATGCTTGGGCTTCAGCAAGCGGAGCATGGGTTGGAGAGAAGTTTCTGACAGCAGGGGTCCAGGAGAACCTGGACTCTCCTTTTTTTTTTTTTTTTTAAAGATTTTATTTATTTACTTGAGAGAGAGAGAGCACAGAGGGAGAGGGAGAAGCAGGCTTCCCGCTGAGCAGGGAGCTCGATGCGGGGCTTGATCATGGGTCCTGGGATCATGACCTGAGCTGAAGGCAGACGCTTAACCCACTGAGCCACGCGGGCGTGGACTCTCCTTTTGTGATGGACTAAAAACCATTTTCCCTCAGTGATGCATTACTTTCCTTGGGCTGCCATAAAGAAGGACCACAAACTGGATGGTTTAAAACAATAAAAATGATTTCCTTTCTTGGTTCTGGGGGCTGAAGTCTGAAAGCCAGGTATCAGCAAGGCCTTGTTCCTTCCGAAGCCTCCAGGGGAGGATCCTTCCCTGCCTCTTCCGGTTCCTGGTGGCTCAGGTGGCCCCTGGCTTGTGGACATGTCCCTGCAGTCTGTCTCTGCCATCCCGTGGCAGCCGTCCCCAGCGCGTCTTCACGTGGCCTTCTCATAAGGACACCAGGAAGGGAACTGAGGCCCAACCTGATTCAGCATGACCTCATCTCAACTAATTACATTTGCAAAGACCCTATTTCCAAATAAGGTCACATTTTTTTGTGGTTCTGGGTAGATGTGAATCTGGGGGAAGGGGAACTCTACTCAGCCCGGCGCAGGGATGGAGCTCTGGGCACGTGGCCCATGCCAGGCAGTGCCAGGCTCCATCCAAAAGCATGTTCCTGTCCTTGAGGACTCAGGACTCCACTGGGGGTTTCTTTCCTTTCCTTTTTTTTTTTTTAAAGATTTTATTTTGGGGGTGCCTGGGTGGCTCAGTTAAGCGTCTGTCTTTGGCTTGGGTCGTGATCCTGGGGTCCTGGGATCGAGCCCTGCATCGGACTCCTTGCTCAGCAGGGAGCCTGCTTCTCCGTCTCCCTCTGCCCCTGCTCGCGTATTCTCTCTCTCTCTCTCTCTCGCACCCTCTCAAATAAATAAAATCTTAAAAAAAAAAAAGATTTTTTAAAAGTAATCTCTACACCCAACATAAGGCTCACACCTACAACCCCAAGATCAAGAGTCACATGCTTCACAGACTGAGCCAGCCAGGTGCCCCAGGACTCCACTGGGGGTTTCAAGCCGACCACTCACAAGCACATCCCAGCATTGTAGGGGGACTCGGAGAAGTGATCTTGCTCCTGAACGGTGGATGGAGCAGAGCCTCGAGGGAGAGGCACCTTCAGGAAGGCTTGAAGTGGGGTCCCTTCCAAAGTCTCCAGGGACCTGGCAGGACCCCCCACTCATCCCTGACAAAGGTTGTTTGTGCTCTGGGGTCTCTGGTTAGAAGTTGGGAGGGGTACCAGGTCCTTCCCTGCCCGGGAGCACCCCCTGTGCTCCTCGGCCGCCCACGCTCAGCACCAACCCTGACCTAGCAGCCGCGAGCTTCTGGCCTTCCGCGCGGTGCGCACCTCCTGTGGTCAGCGGAATGTTGCTTCCAGGCAGAGGAGTATCCGTCCAGCTCCAGAGCACTCGCTTGGAACTGACTGCAGAGCCCCACAGACGTCAGGAGCATCCTCCACGGGTACATATCACCCCCAAGGGTGAAGTCTCGTTCTTGAGGAGGAAGTTATCTGCGACGTCACAGCAGCCTGTGGCCCTCACAGACCACAGTGTGTAAACAGAGCAGCGGCACGTCCCTGGTTTTAACTTTTTGTGGAGGAGGTGAGTGGGGGCAAATGTGTCTACAAAGGCTCCTCCGGGGGCGTTAATGAGGAGAGGTAGAGAAGCAGCGCCGGGCTGGCCCAAACCCCTTGGGCTGCAGCTTCAGCCTCACCACAAGGCTGACGGTGGTGGCCTGCCTGTGCGGGCCTCCATTTTTATTTTTTATTTTTTATTTTTTAAAGATTTTATTTATTTATTTGAGAGAGAGAGAATGAGAGAGAGCATGAGAGGGAAGAGGGTCAGAGGGAGAAGCAGACTCCCTGCTGAGCAGGGAGCCCGATGCGGGACTCGATCCCGGGACTCCAGGATCATGACCTGAGCCGAAGGCAGTCGCTCAACCGACTGAGCCACCCAGGCGCCCCGGGCCTCCATTTTTAAAGAGGAGGACGCTGAGGCACAGAGAGGCTAAGTGACTTGCCTGGGGTCACACTGCTCCTAAGAGGCAGATTTCAGCTCTTCTGTTTTACCGTAAACTGGAGAGATGCTGACCTCTCTCTTCCCCACGGTCTTCCTCGGCCATCTGAAGGCCAAGGAGAACTCTCCCTACTTCCTCCTGTCTGAGGACTTTCTGAGCAAAAGAAGCATCATCTTGAGTCGTCTTCTTATTTGTAGTCTCATAGAACGCTGCTGTGGCTGAATTGTGCCCTCCAAAAAGATACGTCGACATCTGGATCCCCGGTGCCTATGAACCTGATTTTACTTGGAAGTGGGCCTTGGCCGATGTGATCAAATTAAAATGAGGTCACACTGGATCGGGGGGCCTTCCTCCAGTGACGGGGTTCCTGTAAAATGAGGGAATTTGGACACACACAGAAGGCCAAGTGATGGCAGAGGCAGAGGCTGGGTGATGTGCCCCATAGCCACGGCTAGCCCCACCTGAAGCTGGGGAGAGTCTCCCTCCCTCCCTTCGTCCCAGAAGGAAACCACCCTGCTGACATCTTGATTTCGGACTCCTGGCCTCCAGGACTGCGGGGGAATAAATGTGTGGTAGTGTGTTACCGTGGCCAAGGCATGCCACCTTCCATTAGGTTTTTGTTTGATTTTGAGAGGGTTGATGGGATTGTGTGTGTGTGTGTGTGTGTGTGCGTGCATGGACACGCATGTGTGTGTGTGTCATCGAGGGCTCGTGTTCCCCTTCCTGCCACCTTCTTCCTTCTGTGGCTACCCCACGCCATGTCTGCCTTGCCCCCGTCTCCCGCACCCTCTGTGGATGGGGCCACTGCTCATCCTCGAGGAAGGCAGCGGTGGGAGGGCAGGGCGGCCCGAGGGGGCAGGCAGCCGTCACCATTGTCCTCTGGAGGACAGATCACCTGAGAGGAGTCCTCCCTCCTGTAATTCCCATTTTGTGCGGCAAAAAAGCCCCCGTCCTTATAAAGGGGTAGATGGAGCTTAAACAAGGCGCGCAGAGCCAGAGGGCGAAGTGTGAATCAAAGGAACAGAATTAACGTGTGGGAAAGAGTAGGCACCTTCTGGAGAAAGCCCACGCACCGGCAGAGCGGGGTCCATCTCGACACAGGCCTTCGCAATGAGATAAATCCTGCATATGATGTCTTATAAACTTCTCTGAGAGTTGAGTAGTAATCAACACCGGGAAATAATTTCTCCAGAAATAAAGGCAATGCGAGTATTGGTGGTGGGGTGGAGGGCTGTGATGTTTGTGGCAGTAAATGCGTTTAAGATCCTGGGAAGAATTCAGGCTCAGGAGCTCAGCAATAATTTACTAGAGGCTTAATAGTTGGCAAGTCCCCAGGCTGCTTTGGGTGGAATTTATTTTGGCACGTTGCAGCGCCTCTGAGAGGAAACGGAGAAACAGGCTCAGGGCAGCCGGCCATGCCCAGGAAAGGCCTCCTTTGTGGGGGGTCCTGGGCCTGATCCTGCCCTGGCTCTCCAGGAGAATCCCTCTGCCTGCTTTAGCTTCAATCGCTGCCCCTCAGCACGTGGAGCGCATGCACGTGCGGATGAATGTGCAGACACGCCTGGGACACCCACGTGTGCGTGTGCGGTGGGTGGTTAGAGAGCCCCTCCAGCAGGGGGCGGGGGCACACGCCTCCACCTCCAGGCCCAGCGCTGTGCATCGCTGGGTCTCGATTCGTGGCAGGGTGGTGTCCGGGCACCTGGAGCGCTCACACCGGCTGCCCTCGCTCGTCCCTCCCAGGAAGACCCCCGACGTGGGCTGTGCGGGTTCACCCCTGGCTTCTCTCACTAGGTTTCCCCCTGGGGCCGGCCTCATGGAGCGGATCCAGGCCATCGCCCAGAACGTGTCCGAAATCGCCGTGAAGGTGGACCAGATCCTGCGCCACAGCCTGCTCCTGCACAGCAAGGGTGGGGCCCAGGGCACCCTCTGCCCCCAGGAGGCCAGTGTACTGGGTGGCCCTGACCACTCCCCATGGCAGCGCTCCCGGCTCCGGCCTCAGGCTCTGAGTGGGGTGACTTGGGGTTCACCCCACTGTGACCTGGTGTGAGAACAGAGGTCCTGGAGTCCCCCGGGGGCCCCCTTCATTTTTCTTGATGTGGGGAGCAGCAGGCTGGGGGCCCCCCTAAGAGGGTTACATTTGGGTGGGTGCATGAGGTCTGCCTATCCAGACACTGGTCCATAGCCATTCAAGCTGGCTCCTCACTGGTTCCAAAGCCCATATAGTGGGTGAGGGCCTGTGGCAGAGGGGGAAACCCAGGCTTGGGGACCCCCTGGCGGGTGGCTTTTTAGGTGAGAAAACTCAGGGGAGGGAGGGCAGGGTGTGCTCCCGAGCTAACCCCTCCCCCACAGACCAGGCCTCCCTCACACTTCACGGGGCTCCTCCCTAGACCCCGGCCCTCAGCAAGCTGACCTTCTCCCCCTGCAGTGTCTGAAGGCCGGCGGGACCAGTGTGAGGCGCCCAGTGACCCCAAGTTCCCTGATTGCTCAGGGAAGGTGGAGGTGAGGCCCGGGGCTGAGGATGGGGGTAGAGGTGACCGGGGGAGGGGCAGGCTCCTCTTTGGGGACTCTGCCCCCACACTAGCTCTGAGATTCTGCTCCTGGCAGGGATGTCTGCTGGTGAGGACTTCTCCGCCCAGCCCCCAGCCCCTGACCCTGGTACCCGCTGGCAGAGGCCGGCCTCAGGGAGACGGCCTCTCTGCTTGGGCCGTCTGCCTGGCCCACCAACCCACATTGCCTAGGATGATCACGTTTCAGGGTTTTCAGTACTTTCTTACAGCATACAAACTGTTAATAACACCTCCAGCAGCCTGCATCCCAAAAATTCAGACACACACTGGATCTCTTGAGTGGGCCTGTCTCCTCATCCCTCCCCATCCTTGCAACCAGCTGGACTAAAAGCCCCCCGGCCCCTCCTCTGGGGGCTCACTTCCCGGGGCCCATGGCTTCATGAAGTCTGTCCCTCTGGGAATACAGGCTACGGCATAAAAGCTGGCTCCTCTCTGGTTCTTAACTCCCTAAGAGGGTGGAGCAGCGGCCCTGTGTGCCCCTTCCTCGGTGACATGTGGGGATCACTGTGGGTGGGGCCCACTCTGGCTCCAGCCCTTGTGTTCTTGGAGCCTGCTCCTGACCTTGGCCTCAACCGGATCCTGCTCCTGGGGGAGACCAGCCAGGCCCCAAGCTGCTGCATTTCCCACTGTTTGCCCCAGAGCTTTCCCTGAGTGTGTTGTGACCTGGCCTTATTCTGCCGGGGTCCTACTCTTTCTGGGCCTGGGGGACAGTGGTCCTGCTCAGCCCTTCCCGAGGTTCTCAGTGGCCAGGACAGAAGGCTGGGTCATGGGGCTCTGGTCTAGCCTCTCTCTTCTCTGCTCCTGGCCCTTGCTGCATCTCTAAGTGTGTGCCCCAGAGGTCCTGTCCTGAGGGACCTCGGGTCCCCAAGGACATGCCTGCAAAGAGCCTGCCAAGGGTATGGGTGGGGCTGGTGCCAGCGCCCTGGCCTAGGCTGGCCCTCTCCACAGTGGATGCGTGCCCGCTGGACCTCGGACCCCTGCTACGCCTTCTTCGGAGTGGACGGCACTGAGTGTTCCTTCCTCATCTACCTCAGTGAGGTTGAGTGGTTCTGTCCCCCGCTGCCCTGGAGGAACCAGACGGCCGCCCAGATGGCCCCCAAGCCCCTCCCCAAAGTCCAGGTAGGCCTGGGAAGTGGGTGGGTCCGTGAGGGGCTGGTGGACAGGTCAGCTGGCCTCCTCGGGTGGGGCATCCTTGAGGGACAGCAGGAGGAGCCCTTTGCTCCTGGTAAAATGAGGCCAGGCTGCTGTGCCTGGTGGGGGGTGCGTCCCAGCTTGCCAGCCTTCCGGGGATGCTGCAAAGCTTGGCCTACTTGAGGGGCAAGCTGGGGCCCTGGAGGCACCCCCTAAATGGACTAGAATAATAGTAACAATAGCTGTCGCTCCTGGAAGGCTTCCAGATACTTTATTTGTACTTAAACCTCCCAGCAGTCCCTTATGCGACCACACTGAACAGATGGCAAGTCTGAGGTCTAGGGAGTGCAGTTAATTTGTTCAAGGCATCCAGTTACTCCAGCTCCGCTGAAAGGGGGCCCGGCCTCCCTGCCATCCGAGCACCAGCCCTGACCGCCACCCTCCCTGCCTCGGTGTAGCTGCCAGACTCCTGGGGACTGTCATCGCTGACCACCCCCAAAGGGCTCAGGACAGAAGGATGACCGGAGCTGGGCTGGGACAGACCAGCTTGGCTGGGGGTTAGTGTTGGTGGGTGAGAGCAGGGCTCCCCGACGGTGGGGGCTGGTGGGCCTTTATAAATGGCAAGAGAAGTTAGAGTAGGCCCCAGCCTCCCAGGGAGGGTGCCAGGCCCTGTTCCCAGGGCAGCAGGTGATGGTGGTGGCACGGCTGTGGGGCTGAGGGCCAGAGAACCCAGGTCTGGGCCCCCCTCCAGGCAGTTTTCCGGAGCAACCTGTCCCACCTCCTGGAGCTGATGGGCAGTGGGAAGGAGTCTCTAATCTTCATGAAGAAACGGACCAAGCGGCTCACGGCCCAGTGGGTGCTGGCTGCCCAGCGGCTGGCACGGAAGCTGGGAAGCGTCTGGAGGGACCAGAAGCAGGTACTGCTTCTCTGTGCATTCAGGGCGCTGCGCTCAGAGAGCTTAGGAAATGAGCTTAGGGCCCCAGGCCTTCAACTGGGCACCAGGTCTGCCCTTGAAAAGGTTTTATTGAGTTTATTTGAATTTCAGTTGGGGTGAGGGAGGCAGAGTCAGAATAGATGCATGTGGTGGCCCCTGGCCCTTTTTATGTTTGGAGTAGAATGACAAACCCTCCCCTCCACCATGTAGGGGTTCTGCATTCTGTAGACATCTCGTTCTTTTCAGGCAGAAAGGTCGTGGCATTTGCCTGGAATATTGGGAATAATATAGCCTGTTTTGGGGAGGTTTGTAGGTCCATCCATCCATCCATCCACCCACCCATCCACCATCCATCCACCCATCCATCCACCCATTCATCCACCCATCCACCCAGGTTTATCCATCCAATAAATATTTACCTGACTCTCACATCACACTGTTTATTTCTTTCAGAGTCCCTATCATTTCATGAAATTATCTCTTGTCTGTGTTTACTGTTGTCTACCTCTTCCATCTGGAACGTAAGCGCCTTGAGGGCAGGATGTGACCATCTTGTTCACTTTGATCCTCAGTGCCCAGTGTGGTCACTCTGCCTCTTGGTTCCCTTGCTGGTGCCAGAGAGCACCTGCCCAGGCACAGCCTGGTTGGGTCCCCCTGGGGGTGGCAGGGCAATGCTGCTCCTCCTCCACGCTGACTCTGTGTCCTCCCCAGATTCTTGTTCACATCGGCTTCCTGACGGAGGAGTCTGGTGACGTGTTCAGCCCGAGAGTGCTAAAGGGCGGGCCTCTGGGTGAGATGGTGCAGTGGGCAGACATCTTGGCCACTCTCTACATCCTGGGCCATGGCCTGCGGATCACAGTGTCCCTGAAGGAGCTGCAGAGGTGAGTGCCGGGGGAGGGGAGGAGAGGAAGGGGAGCCTGTCCCCCAGGAGCCCCTGCTCTAGCTGCTGGTCCCTGGGAGGCTTCCTGGTATACTGTGGATAGTGACATTCTTCATTGCCTCCTCTTCCTCCATGTTGATGCCTGGTCATGTTTGGGATGCACCAAGGAAGCATATTTGCATAGTGTTGTTCAAAGGTCCTTTTCTCCATCTTGGGCTAATAGGTGCCCCAGTGTTTGCACTCAGGGGCTGACAAATACTGGCTTGTGGAATTGAGCCAGGTCCTCTCTGATGGCGTCCTCTCTGCCTGTCTTTGGTGGGTGTGGTGCGGCCTTGGGATTTTTCTTCTGGAATTGGGCTCCTTCCTAGACCTATTCTGGGAGCTGGTAAGACCTGGAGGGTGGTGAGGTGAGCCTGTGATGCCTGTCCCTTCCCCAGTGCTTGCCTTTCCAGAGTCCCCCTGATGTTCTCGGAGGTGGGAGATGGTGACAAGAAGGGGGAGGATTATGTGTGTTTGTGTTTGTGCGCACCTGCATTCAAGTCTGGTTAGTTTTAACTGCTGCATTTGCGGGATATAGAAGTACAGACGGTTTTCCTTCGTTTATTTATTGATGTTTATTATATGATATTCAATACATACAAGAATGTCTGTAACATGTTATTAGGAAGTGCAAGAATAGGGTGTTCTCCCATAATTCTGTCGTCCAATTTGAAGAAAGAATACCCCCAGGACTCTTGTGCCCACCTGGTGTCCTTCTCTCTCATCAGTCCCTCTGCCTCCCCCTAGAGGAAACTTGCGACTTGGATTTTGTGTTTATCATTTCTTTGCTTTTAAATAAGAAATTGCTGTCTTGTGTGTGTGTGTGTTTTACATACTCTGGTATCCATAAACAGTATATGGTTTAGTTTTATTTTGGTTTGCTTTGAGCTTTGTATAAATGGCATCTGCTGTATGTAATGTTTGAGACATGCTTTCTTCACCCATTATTATGTTTCAAAGATTCATTCATGTTGTTCCATGTAACTCTGTTTTATTCATTTTCACTGCTGTATGAGATTTCATTATGTGGATGGTCCATCATTATTTTTCAGTTTTTCCTGACTGTGGACATTTTCCCCCTGCTTTTGTAAGTTATTCTGAGTGATGCTGTGGTAGACATGCCTGTACCTGAGGTATCTGTGTCACAGTTTCTCTTGGGTAGAGACTGAGTTTTTCTTCAGTATAGACTCAGGTGCACAATTGCTGGGACTAATGGTGTGTGAAAATTCAGCTTTATAAGATAATGCTAATTGTTTTCCTAAGTGATGGCACCGATTTAGCCCCACCACTTGGAGGTTCCCAGTGGTCATGTTGTCACCCACTTGTAGGGTTATTACACTTCCTAACTGAGGATGTCTAGTGGTGTCATGATATCTTGTTATGTTCTTAACTTGCATTTCCCTGACAGCTAACGAGGCTGAGCATTCTGTCATATGCTTGTCCTTCTTTCCTCTTGATGAAATGCCCATTCATGTCATTTACCCACCTTTCTCCTGGGTTGTTTATGTTTTCCTTATTGAGTTATAGGTGTTCTTTATATACGATGGGTATAAATCCCATTCAACTTATTATATCTGTTGAAAAATCTCCTAATTTGTGGCTTGTCTTTGTAATTTCTTTTTCTTTCTTTCTTCTTTCTTTCTTTCTTTCTTTCTTTCTTTCTTTCTTTCTTTCTTTTCTTTCTTTCTCTCTCTCTCTCTCTCTCCCCCTCTCTCCCTCTCCCTCTCCTGCCCTTTCTCCCAAGGAACAGAAGGCCTTAATTTAATGTAATCAAAGTCATCGATCTTTTTCTTTTTCTTTATGGTTAGGGGTTTGTGCTTTGTGGTTTTCTATTCCTCTTTCTTATAGGGCACGACTAAAGAAGGCCCCAGAGGTGTTGCCTACAAATTGACTTTTCTTCATCAGTCCATTAACTTATTCTGAAGATGGTTTTCAAGCTAAAATGTAATTCTTGTCCAGAGCTTGCCCATCATCTTGATGGTCTATTGGTTCTAGATGTGTCTCTCTGATCAGCATTTTGTCCTGGCCATGAATGCTGATGCTCTTTAGCACAGGAGTGCTGGAGAGAGGAGGATGCTGATGGGGACAAAGCCATTGACAGTCTTAGGTCAGCATGGTCTTGGGGAGCTACTCAGCCTCTGCAGTTTTTCACCTGCAACTTGGAGTCTGCCAGTAACTTCAGTAGCGCTTCTCATGAGCTCAATCGGAGGGCAGTACTAGGACCAGCTGTATTGCATAGGGGGAGGCCACTGAATGACCTAGTGGTTTGAAGGTTTTTATGCCCATGGCTTGCAATTCACACCACTGGAGTAATTCTTTTAGGCTGACGCACTTCTCCAGTAGGCCTAGGAAAGTTGAAAAGTGTCTTCAGAGAGGAACAGTATATATAGAGGATCCACTTTGAAGGGGGAGAAGGTGACAAGGACTAATGAGGGGGCTGCACGATTGTGGCAGTGTTGGGAAGCACAATCCCAGGTTGGGGGCAGCAGGTTCTGGGGAAGAGGTGATATCTGGGAATAGTATTCCCCCCCGCCGCCAGTCTGGCTGAATATCCTGAGTGGGAAGGAACTGGGCAGGGAGCTGTCCCCGTGTGCTGGTGCTGAACTTGTCGAAGCGCTACTCAGAGCTGGGAGAGGGAACCAGCATGGTCCCTCATTCTGGCTTTCACCCTGGTGGCATTTTGTCATCAGACCAAGCTGTTCACATTGTGCAGGCCACTTCAGAGCTGAGTGTGCCCACTCGCCGCCCGCCGCCCACCAGCACACACTGCTGCTCACCCCCTGCTCCCTCTGAACAGAGGACACAGATGCATCAACACTGTGAAACAGAACGCTGCTAATGTTTGCAAATAATGAAAAGAAGCATCTTTGCCTGGCCTTGAAGCTTCCTACAGGAAAGTCAAATAGGGTGGGGGTGAGGAGGAGGAAAGAGAAAAGGGACCTAGTGTCTGGGAAGTCAAAGAAGTCTTGGGCAGTTTGTGGATGGTGTGGTCAGGGGCTGTGGGTAGCCACGAGCCAGACCTGTCTAGGGCAGAGCAGCAAGCAAGGGTCTGAGGGCCCTTGTCCCCTAGGTCACCAGAGCCCCCAAGATGCAGTAGGAAGACCCCTGGGGGTGAGGGCTGTCTGGACTACTCATCCCAGGCTCTGCCACACACAGAGTCACCTGTGAGTGTGGGGCATCCTGTCAGCATTGCTGATCCCTTGACTTGCTAGATGAATTCATGTTTATCAAATGGCATTCAGCTTGATTCTTCCCTTCTGCCGTGTATCTTCTGGGGCCAGAGAGGGGAGAACTTCCTTCCTTTACTGCTGCCTGAGGGAAGGCTTCGCCCATTTGTGACAGCCCAACAACCACACTGAGGGAACCATCCCTCTGTGAGAGAGCAGATATTCGACAAGTCTCCTTAAGCGATGGGAACTTCACTTCCTCCTCTGGCCACTTCTGGGGCGTGGCACTGAGCCTGTGTTTACTGAGGCTGCCATTGCTCATAAGGGGGCCAGAGCAGTGAAGATGGGGGTCACTGCACTCACGAGGTCTTGAAGGTGAGGCCCTAGTGTAAAGTACCAAGATCTGAAATACCTCCTGCTGCTTTTCTTTAACTACACACATGTACCCACATATACACACATGTGCACACGTGTGCATGCCCCAGTGTACAACCACATATGCATACCCATCACACACATGTGCATCCCTTTGTATAGGCCCACATCACCACGCATATGCCAACACACACCCCCATGCACAACATGCAGCATGCTGCGCGCACACACACACACACACAGTCACACACCCCACAGAGACTCCATGTCTTCCTGCCAACCCATCACTTCATGCCAAGCTCATGTGGATCTGAAATTCCCAGAAGCAGGGGCTCCAGGGAGAGGTTACCTCATCTCCGATTTGCAGTTTGTTACATGGGCAGGCCCAGCGCTGTGCCTGGACAGCTCTGTCCTTGGTCCCCAGTGGGGTGTAGGTGTGGGTGAATGCTCTTGCTCAGACAGGGCAGAGTTGTTGTAAACAGCCCAGACACCTCAGGGAACAGCCTCATGAAGGGCCTTTCTAAATCTGTTCTCAGAAACAATTTCAAGACAACTAAAAGAATAAAAACAGAAAAAAAGAAAGCCACCTTCCCCAGGAGATGTAATACAGTTATGTCTACAAAATTAACAGCATCAGCTGTGGTTGGAATACATTTGAGGTGGGGATTCTTACCCCTCCCCCCACCCCTCCAGCTGCAGAGCGGCCTTAGAAAATATACCGACATTTGGGCCCCACTCTTGGTGTCTCTATTTCATTGGTCTGGAGTGGGGGCCCAAGTATCAAGTTCTCAAAGATCCCCAGGTGCTCTAATGAGCAGTGAAGGTTGACAAGTGGAAAATTTGGGGCTGTGGTTTTTCTAAGCCTCCCCTGGGATCCCCCACCCCCAGCGTCTGGGCTGCTGTGGGATTGGCCTTCATGGCTTGTTCACAAGAGCTGTCCTCTGTGTCCCCAGTACTGGTCCTGAGGGCAGGATTAGGGCCTGGAGTTCAGGCTCAGGTCCCTAGAGGACTAGTAGAAAGCATGTGTGGATTCCTCCCAAGCCCACATGTGCATACCTGAAAGCCCCCACGATACCCTCGGTTGCAGGTGGTGGGCTGAGGAGGCACCCCTTGGAAGTGGCCCAGGTAGTGGGGCCTCTCACGCCTCACCTCGGGCATCAGGTGGGAACTTGCTGACCTGGAATGTACTTTGTTCCATGCCCTTTCTTGGCTGTCCTTCTCCCCTGGGACAGATGTAGGCCAGGGCTGTGAGCTCCTCAAGCTCCTTCTGCTGGGACCACCCCAACGCTACCTAAAAAAAGCAGGCCTTTCCTTCCAGTGGAGATTTCAACACAGATGTGTATCAGTTAGCTAGGGCTGCTCTAACAGCACCACACACTGGGTGCTTAGACAACAGAAATGTGTTGTCTCACAATCTGAG